AGGAATGGTCTCCTCTCTGGGAATTTTTTTTTCCTTAACTAGAGTCCCACGAATACCTTTTGGTGTCGTGCTGAATTGAGCTCTTAAAAACCGTATTGCTTATCCCTAGATCAGCAGATCTTAAAGAAATGGTCTTCAAATGGCCGTGCAAAGACTTTTTTGCATCATCGTGTCAAAATGTGGACCTGAACTGGTTGAAAGTGTCCCACCACAGCAGCGTCCTTCGTAGTAAAATACCCTCTGGAGTTCTGTCCCAGGTCTTCTGTCTGTGCGGGAGGTGGGCAGTGGTCTCGTGGATTGGAAAGAAATGCCTTACGCATCCGTGGCTCTTTCAAACAGATACACCGAAACTTGGCAATTCCCAGAGTCATTCTTCATTTGGGATTTGCCATTGTTTCCGAGAGAAAAGCTATGTACTTTGTCAGATTCCGTAGCTAAAGTATGCAATAGGCTTCCATCCCCCTGCCCGAGTGCGGGCGAGCGGCCTGAGCCTGCCCTTCCGAACCTCTGCGCGGCGGCAACGCGCGGCGCTTCGGCACCTCCGCGCGCCGCGGGCGTGACTGACGAGGGAATCCCCAGCTCCTGGCGTCCCAAGTGATTCCCCAGACGATTGTACGTTGAACACATATTGGCGCCGTAATTTTAATCCCCTCACTGAACGCGGTCCCAGTTGGTGAATCTTAAAAAATGGCTTAATCAGACTAGGCTTGCTCAGCTGTCAAACCGATCTGAACTCGCAGGCAGACTGGCCAGTTCCCAGGTGATAAGGTGCAACCGTTAGAATTCTAAACAAACCTTCAGGACACCAGAGTAAAACAGCCCGAGACTTTTGTTTTGATTTGAAACTATGAGCCATAAAGCAGAGCGTAGGGATGGCTCTTCTTGGCTTTTGATGGCAGTATGCAATTTGTATTGTACGTGTCTTTTAATATATATGTATATATATATGAACTCAGTCTGTCCAAAGTATATGTTATACTTGTTTTTAGATTATGGTGCAACTGACTATATTGATATATTATTTATTGAGTGCTGAATCGCCATCTTATTGGTGATAAATCTCGCATATTATACAGGAGTGCAATGTATATTCCTTTAGATTGCTGAGGCTTGATTGCTGTGATAACGAAAAAACAAAAAAAGCCCTGAGATGTATTTATGAGTGGCCCCAACATACAGAGAGGCAGTACTTTATGGAAATAATGTAGCGCTTGCCTGGGGCAAGTAAAATAAAGCCGTAGGCAGAGAATTATGCAGTTTGCCAAAATGGCAAACAACTGGAAAGAGAGAGACTACCTTTGCTGTATTTAATGTTTCACTTTACCTGACAGATATTTGCCGTCACTGCAGTGTTTATGTTAAGGCAGATACAAAAGGGCCTGAGCAAGTCAAGTTTGAATTACCCATTGGGGAGTAAATAACTTCCAAATTCCTAGATTTCTGACAAATTCTTTGGTCAGGGTTTAAATTACTCCATCTGATGCATCAGTGTTACGGAAAACCCTGTGTTTCCGAGCCACAAAGTTAACGCTAGACATCTTTCAGCGTAGAGAGTAGCCAAAGCTTTTGCTAGCCAACTCAGACGAATCCAGACCTCTTCCAGGAGGCGAGTTTCCTCCGCGGGAAGGTTGGGTAGGTCGGCTCGAACAGTCAGGGAACCGCGGGGTTTGCCCAGCTCCGTTACTCTTCGAGGAATTGGCCCCTGCTGCTGTGATGCCCTTTGCAGATGGCCGTGGCGGGGAGGGAAGGGGCAGCTCTTCCGTCGGTGGCAGCCTCGGTCGCTCGCCACGCTCTGCCGGTGCTCGGCCCTGGCGAGCAATCGCGGTGCGGGGGGCGCAGGGGCCGTCTCGGTGCAGGCACTTCCCCTGTTCTCGTTTCATCGGGAAACCAAGCGGAACTGGTCGGGCGCGCGGCGCTGCTGCAGCGGGGGTTTCTGGCTGCGTTGGCGTGACACGTCCGAAAACTCAACTCTAAGGACCAGGCGTGACTTTTGCAAGCACAGTTCCTGACGTTTGTATCTGGTCCCCCTTTTAAATTGTTTTAAGAAATTTTGTATATGGAGGATAAAGTGCTTATATATTTATTAAAAATCCTTTATCTTATTGGCGCGCGGCGCTGCTGCAGCGGGGGTTTCTGGCTGCGTTGGCGTGACACGTCCGAAAACTCAACTCTAAGGACCAGGCGTGACTTTTGCAAGCACAGTTCCTGACGTTTGTATCTGGTCCCCCTTTTAAATTGTTTTAAGAAATTTTGTATATGGAGGATAAAGTGCTTATATATTTATTAAAAATCCTTTATCTTATTTGAAATTATTATTTGGTGAAGAAGGGTTTTTCTTTGGGGGGAGGGCTGGTGGGTGGGGGAAGGTAACTTTTAACCTGTCACTTATAAATGAAGCCCTTGTGGATCCTACAGGAAGGTACTGTTAGTAACTAATGGGATGTCTCTGTTTATGCTTTGTACATGACAAGTCCATGTGTTACATTTTGTTTCTATCAAGATATTTAGGCATCTGTCTTCAACCAAAACCTAAAAAAAAAAAAAACAAACTGTGATTTTATTTGTTGCAATACATTTGAAATTTCAAAGGGTACTTTGGGGCTCAAAATTAGGATTTCTAAGTCAGTATGTGCATTTCACGTAATAAAGCTGTTAATGGTGAGCAAAGTATTATATACTAACTAGATTTTTTCCACATCTGTATAGTATATTCTATGTATTTTGTGGTATTGAGATTATAGAAAGTTTAGTGTCTGAAACATGCGTTTAATGTGTATTTTTAAACAAATTTATGGCAATTAAAATATTTGGAGAAAAGGGTATCACATTTCAATTTGTAAAGATCTTTTTAACTACTGTGTCATTAAAATGCTTTGTACAATGCAAAACTGTAACTGGAGAAACTAAGTTTAATAAATATCAAATAGATTTTCTGTATTAAACTTCAAAACCACTGTGCTCGTCTCTGTTGCGTGGGCTTTCTCCTCCCTGGTGTTGCGTTTTTAAGCAGAGTTTTGTTTTCTGATCCTCCTGCTCTACGTGTAACGGAAGGAAAATCCCATTCGGTATTTGTGCCCCAGACTGGTTGGTGTTTGTCTAACGAAAAGTGGCTCCGTTCCCTTCAGCCCTCCGAGTTAACCTGCCACAGGCCAATACTGGGTTTTGATCAGTTTATTTTAAAACAGGCGCTACTTCAGTGGCGAAAGTCAGTCCAGGACGTTTGTGTAAGTAGATTTGATGAGAAGTAATTAAAAGCAAGTACTTGCCCTTCCCATTATCGCCAGATAAGGTTGGGGTATCGGAAAGGCTGTTGGTGTTATCAGCATGTTTGCTCCCTCTTCCTCCCAGGCCTCTACCTGAAGTGCGGAGGAGGATCCGCTGGCGAGACTGAAAGGAGACGGACGCCAGATCTTTGTGCCCTGGCCGGGCTGAAGGGTAAACGGCTGAAGCCTGGTGTGAGTTAAGCCCTCCTGTTGGAACGCCAGCTGCGGGCTCAGCGTAGGTGTTGCTGACGGGACAGAAGGAGAAGCCAGGTGCTTTGCTGAACGGGCGTTTTTAATTCATACCTTAAAAAACCAAGGAACACTAGAAAAACCCCAAATGAACAGGAGGTGCAGAGTCCTTTTATTGAGCTTGGCCAGAGAGTCATCCTCAAGGGTTGTGCTGCGGAGGGACAGCCTCAGTTAGGAAACGCTCTCGAGGTCTTTCAGGTCCTTCTGTCAGTTCAGAGGACAGACGTGTCAAACCCACCGCTCGCTCGCCGCGGCGGCGCGGCTCTTGCCTGGCCAATAAATACTTCACCAGCAGAGCGGAGCAGCGTTAGCAGTAACAGCGCTGGGCGCTCTCCAGCGGGCCGGGTCACGCCGAGGCTGTTCTGAGGAAACAGTGGTTCTTCCTGGAAAACAAACCACGGTCAGGCCCTGAGGGCTGGGGCTGCCGGCGGCGTGGGGCTCAGCCGGGACGGCCCTGGCAGCACTGCTCACCCCCGTACGGCAGCGCTCGCCTTCAGCTCACGTAGCCGCGCGCCTCCCGTTCCCCTCCCTAACTCTGCCCGGCTCGTCTGGATTCGTTCTGTGTTCCTTGTGTAACAACTCCAAAATGCCCCTGACCTGGGTTAGCCCCCCGAGCAGTCCCTGCCTGGCTCTGCCTTCCTCCAGCTGCCGTTCCCTTCACCCGTGTTAACCGGCAGACGCAAACGGTGCACTTCGCCGGCACTGCCACCTCCTGCTCTGTCTGTGTGTGGTGGCAGAAGGGATCTATTCCGCCCTGGCGCTCTCTGCTTCCCGGTGTGTGTACAGCAGGTGCCACCCAAACTCAGCTTCCAGCCACTAAGCAGTGAAGGTAACTGATCGATTTAACTGTTGGTGGTTGGACAATTTGCTCCTGTCTTGTATTTGTGAGAGCTAAACAGCTTTTGATAATTTTAGCCGTCTGAAACTACGAGCTTAAGTAATCACCTTAAAGTGAATGATACTGCTTTACATATGCTTTAAAGTGACCGGTCCTGGCTTTAATGTTAAGGTCTCCAAGTGGTTACCTAAAAGCTGTCCAGAATCCCATGTTCTTTTTTGCAAAGACAGGTTATTCTAGGTTGCAGCGAGAGACTTGTCAGCAAGGGCACTTGCACTCTGCTCTGTTTGCTCTGTTGCCCCATCCCTATTCCTGGTACCTTTTTTATGCACAGAACAAACTCCGTATCTCGTTTGGGTGAGAATAAGCGGGAACTTCGTCTACCTAATAGAACACTAAGTGTCGCTGAGCCTGAACGTTGGTCAGGATGAGTTACCTGCACAGCATCGTAATGCATTCGCTGTTATCCCTGCACGAGGCTCCAACGGGTCTCAGCGAGACTCCTCTCCAGAAAGGCGTCATCCGCCTCTGTCTCGTTGGCCGAGGCCCGCGGTGGCGCACGGACGCGCAGCGTGTCTGAAACAGAGTCATGCGGCTGTCAGGGGCGCAGCGGCTGTCGGCGCTCGGTCAATTGTCTTGGTTTTAAGGGAGGAACTTGAAATCTTTATCGTTTCAGATCATGGCGTGCTCTGTTATAGCTGCTTGTGTCCTAACCCCAAAGAAGTGTAAAAACTTCACTATGTTTTTTAATCTTCCCGGGAGGGAGGGCAGAATTACTGCTGAGTTATGCCTCGGAGTAACCCAGTATTCACTAGGCAGTCACTCTACTTTTTTATGATGCCGAACCCTTTAAAAGAGGGTTTGGCATCATAACACGCTCTAGAAGAGCTCCAACTCCTGCCAGTTATTCATGCAAATCCTAACAGGTTCATCGCCTACTGCCTATTCGACTGAGCACATAGGTAGGCACCGCTCGTTACCTGGCTGAGCAGCAGCAGCGAGCAGAGCAAGACGACGGCCAGCACCTTCCCCCAGGGCATCTTCGCAGGGCGAGCCGTCGCTTCGGCCGCAGGACCGGCCTCGGGCGGAGGAGGTGGGAAGAGCCCAAATAGAACGTCCCAAGCTTCGGCGAGATTTTTATAGACTTCCTTCTCTTATCGCTGCATCAGCTGTCAGTCATTGCGGGAACAAAGTCCGTTTGGGAGCAAGAGGGAATTACCAAGTTAGCGCCCGCCGAAGGGATCTGGTTCAAGGCCTGGCTGGCTGGTCAATGATTTACTCTCCTTCCACCTGTACTTTGTCTGGCAGCTTTGCCGGTTGTGGCAATGGCTCCTTTCTAAAAAAAACCCACCCGGCGCGTTACCAGAACTCCACGGTGCATTTGCAAGCCAAAAGGTGGTTGGCCCAAAGTATTCTGGTAAAGAGTGAAAGCCGTAACTGTCTGTGACACGTAACTCCTGGGACATGCAGTGTGTGCAGCCCCGAGCGTGTCAGCTGGGGGTGAGTATTGCCTTCCCGAGCTCACCAGGAGCAGGGAATCGTGCTTTTGACTCTGCTGCTCGTTCTTGGTACGTGCAGGGATCACGAGGAAGTGACTCAACCTTCCTTTCCACGCACACGGTGCGCAAAAAGCAGAGGTCACACTTTTCGGATGGGTCCGGGAATGTAGGAGGTATGTTCTGCTGGTGCCTAACAGACCTCTTCTTCCCAGGGTCCTCCCATGTAGTTAAGGATAATAATTTCCAGACAATGATCCAACCCCAGAAGCAAAGAGTCTGCTGCCAGGGTGTTCCGGAGCCGAGCTGCTCCATGTGGCAAAACGATGGTGTCTTTAGCTGAGCCCTCCCTGCTGCAGCCTGCCCCCGTGACTCCCCGGGCGCCCTGTAATGGTGCCGACGACCTGGACGGGCTGCTCGTAATTTAAGAGGAATCTCAGTTTTTCCCATTGTGAAATGAGATTGCAACAGCCTGGAGAAAAGAATGTTTAGGAGGAGCTTGCTCTTGCCGCTCCTCACCAACGCCGGCACACGTGGGAGATGCGTGTTACCAGTCCGGGAACGGACCTTGTGGTCCTGGCTCCCACGTCCATCAGGTACAAGGTTTATGAGATCACCGAGCGACGCGAAGAGAACTCGTGGCCAGTAGGGGCAGGTGGTGGGGCACACGGTGGTTTGAGTTACTTCAAGTAGGAAGATGCCGTATAAACCGGTGCCCAGTGCTCCACATGGCACGGACAGGTCGGGGTGTCGCAGGCTGCGTCTTCGGTGGCAGTTACAAGGGGGAGCAGCGGCAGCGCGGAAGGCTGCTCAGGGTAAGGTAAGGCCGTGCTGTCAGGCCCCTGTCTACAGGTGACAGCCCTCAGCCCAGACTTCACTGGGATTAAATAAAACCCCTTCCCAGCATGTCCTCTACAACCACGACTGGGAAATCTGTGCCTTTCCTGGGGTGGTTCTTAGCTCTTCCCTCTGCCCTGTTTTCCTTGCTTCCCTGTGAGGAGGAAGCAAAACCCATTATTTCACCTCCCTGGGTCTTACGCAGGGGAGGAAACGGGACAGTAAATCACATCTTATCAAACAGCTGAGCTCAGAGGGTTTTATGTTTGGCTGTGAATTGCTCAGTGGTTTTTCCCCTGAAGCTGTTTCTTCGCAAGCGTCCAAGTTCTGTTTTCTGCTGTACCCACGAGGCGCCGGTGCAGACCAGAGGAAGGGCAAGCGGCGGCGGCGGCAGCAGCAGGAGCAGCTGCCTGGCTTCTTTGGGGGAGGATTGGAAGCGACAGCTTTCAGCTCTGACAGCAGCGACCCCTGCGAGTTGTCAGCTCTCGGCGCTCTTGGCTAGGTAAGGCCAGGGCTGTGTGCCGATATGTCAAAACCACGTGTCCTTCTGGGTTACTGACGGCATCAGCACGTCCCGTTCAGGCAGCCATCTGGCTGCTCTGTGCAAGAAACCGGGGGAAAAAAGAATAAAATCAAACAGCTGTTTCCACGTAAGCGAGTCGTGCACGCCAGTAAAACACCACGGCTAAGATTCAGCTTAGAGCAAAATAAAAAAAAAAGAAGACCCAAAATGTTGCTCTGTTGCCACTTCTAATATTTACCAAGGGGAGAAGAGGAATAAATCAGACTACTGACTCGTTTTCTAATGTCAAATTCCGAAATACCCACTGGCCGAACTCCCTGATGCCGCACATCCAGCAGGAGCCGGCCCTGCCCCGAACAAGCTCTGTGTCCAGCTGCCGGCCCGACAGGCTGGCCCCTGGGGCTGCTGTCAGGGGGTGGCTCAGTGGGGCCAGAGGAGGCTCAGTGGGGTCAGGGGAGGCTCAGGGCGGTCAGGGGAGGCTTGGTGGGGCCAGAGGAGGTTCGGTGGGATCAGAAGAGGCTCAGGGGGGTC